TGTAAGCCGTTCCCGTATTGTTTGATCTACCTGTTCGTCCGATTCTGTGTACGTAATCCTCCGAATTGTTTGGATAGTCAAAGTTAATAACAAATTTAACATCTTCAACATCTGCAGGATATATAAAAATAATTTTTTAATAACGAAACTTACTCTGAATGTGATAAGAAAAAAAAAAAAAAAAAAAAAAGAAAGAATTTTACAATTTAGAGATTTTTTTTTTTTAAAAATAATTTATAGAGGATAACTAAAGTGTAATCAAATTTAAAAAAAAAAAAAAAAACCCGCTCAGATCTCTCATAATAAATTTCTCTATACCTGATACCTGAAATAATTTAATTATAAAAATCATTGATTACACAAAAGGACCTTACATATATCTTAAAAATATTTAAAAAAAAAAAATATATATATATATATGAGTCGGTGAAGGATAAAACATATTAAACGCCCTATTAATGGTATTACATACTTTCATAGATTTTCAACAATAAGGTCCGGGGAACAGGCTCCAGTGATGCCCCGGAACAGGAGGCCCCTTGCAGGCCTCGAGAGAGAGATAGAGAGCCACGGCGCAAGCGCAAGCGCCCAGCCAGAGGGAACCGTAGTCGGGTGAGCTTGGAAAAGCTCTAGGGAGAGGCACAGCTTTGCAAGAGTACTCTCATTGCAATCGTATTGCTTGTGCCTCTGCAACATAAAAATATCGTCAACATATTTAAAGAAATCTCTAATAAAAAATAATAAATAAATAAAACTATAATAATAATAATAATAATAATAGTAAATGAGCAAAATAACAAAAATGCAAAAAAAAAAAAAAAAAAAAAAAAAAGAAAGCTGCCAAATAATATGTAAAAAAAAAAAAAAAAAAACAATAATAATAAAGAAAAAAAAAAAAATTTTTTAATTAGTTTTTGAAAAGAAATAATAATAATAATAATAATAATAATAATAATAATAATAATAATAATAATAATAATAATAATAATAATTTTTTAAAAACTAATTTTGGTTTCTTTTTTTTCGTTAGTTTTTTCGTTAGCAAATAAACGAAAAAATAGAAATTTTAAAATCGTTAAATAATTTAATTATTATTATTATATTTTAATCACGTTCAAATCCGCGGATTCATTCAGCAAAAACATTATTTATTAATTTAGTAATAGTAGTAGAAAATAAACCAAAAATTATTTAACTAAAATAAAAGAATTACTAAATATTGAAAAAAAAAAAAAAAAAAAATTATCAAAATATTTTGTTGTTAATTAAAAACTTTTGCAACTTTTGCTTATGTACGTATAATTTGCCGCTAAAAAAATATGAATAAAAATAGTTGACATTAAAAAGAAGAAAAAAGAAAAAAAAAAGAAAAAAAAAAGAAAAAAAAAAAAGAAAAAAAAAAAGGAAAATGATAAGCAGATGATAAATAAATTAATCAAATGAAAATAATAATAATTTTACTTACCTAATCCACGTGCTGCTACATCCGTCGCAACTAAAATAGGTCTTCTACCATTTCTGAAATCTAAAACAAACTTATTATTGAGCTTTTATATTTAAATATTGACATTAACAAAAACAAAATTTTTAATTTAATTTTTACTTTAAAAAAAAAAAAAAAAGAAAAATGGAAAAAAGGTAATGTAAATAAAACAATGATTCAAAGGATAATAATCAAAATGTGGTATACCTCCAGTGTAGGTTAAGAACAGCTCAGAAATAAAAAAAGGAGTGACAATGTGGGAAAACAAGGTATAAAGAAACTGAAATGGAAAATTAATATCATATTAAATAATAATCGTAATCAATTTAAACACTTTTCGAATTAAAAAAAAAAAAAAAAAATTAAAATACCTTGTAATACATGATCTCTTTCAGATTGATTTTTATCACCATGAATCGATTCAGCAGGCCATCCATCTCTTCTCATTTTTCTTGTTATTTCTTCAACTCTTTTTTTCGTTTCGATAAAAACTATTGTTTTGTTTTCTTTTTCCGACATGATTTCCTTAAGTAATGTACTCAATCTAGAAAAATCAATATTAAATGATGTAGATAATTAATGATTATGTTGTAAATATTTAATTCGAGAGTCAATTATTCAAAATCCCAAGTTTTTTTTAATGAAATAGAAAAAACTCATTTTTATTTCTGAAGTTGGATCAAAGTTGGAAAAAAGTTAAAATCATTAAAGTTTGTAAAAGTAAAAACTCACTTTCTTTCTTTTTCCGAATCTTGGCATACATCGATAATTTGCAAAATGTTGTGATTAGCAGACAATTGTAGCGAACCAACATTAATTTGAGTGTAATCATTTAAAAATTCTTTTGCTAAATTTCTAACAACTTTAGGCCAAGTTGCAGACCACATCAAAACTTGTCGGTCTGGCTTAAAAAATTATGTCGAAAATAAGTTAAATAAGTTTTTTTTTTTTTTTTTTTTTTTTTAGAATTTCTGTAACTAAAAAATTTTGGTGTAGTTTACTTACTTTAATTTGTTCAAAAATTTTCCTAATTTGGGGTTCGAACCCCATGTCAAGCATACGATCAGCTTCATCTAAAACCAAATATGTTGTCCTTTTGAGGTTAGTTTTACCGCAATCCAAAAAATCTAAGAGACGCCCTGGAGTTGCTATTACTATTTCCACTCCTTTTTCTAAATCTCTTGCCTTTAATAAAATAATTTTTAATAAAACAATTGTTACTATTTAAAATCAATGTTTTCAACAGTCTTTTGAATTTATTAAGAATTATAACCTGAGATAATCTTTTGGCACCACCAAATATGCATGTGTTTCTTATTCCGGATGAGTGACCAAAATCTTCGGTTACTTCTTTTATTTGCTGAGCCAATTCTCTAGTAGGTGCTAAAACTAAAACTATGGGACCATCACCTCTTTGAAGTCTAGGCTGATGATTAATGTGAACAATAGCAGGCAAAATGTACTGTAAAAAGACAAAGAGTTATTGAACTGTAATATGAAATTTTTTCCTTTTAAAACTAGAGAAATTTTCAACTTACAGATAAAGTCTTTCCAGATCCAGTTTTAGCTATTCCAACTAAATTTCTTCCACTTAATGCTATAGGCCATCCTTGGGCCTGAATTACAGTTGGTTCAGAAAAACCTTGCCTTCTGAAAAAATTTTCAATTATTATAAATAAATAATGCCAAATATTTAAACAGAAAAAAACCAATTATAAAAAATAAATCTTACTTGATTTCTTTTAAAACATAATCAGGGAATCCAGCTTCTCTAAAGTGTTTGATTGGTAAAGGAACATTTTTTCCCCTCAGGGTTATTTCATTTATTGATCTAAACTCTTCAATTTCTCTAATTGACCTGAGCAAATTAAATAATATTGTAAAATATTCAAATAAATTTAATTTTTTAATTATTTGACAAAAACATTTACTTTTTTAGTGTAGCAAAAAGTATAATACTCAATTAAAGAATAAGTATAAGAAAATAATTTACCTGTCTTCTACATCAGGATGAGGTATGTAAAAATCTTTTTTAAATGGTTCTAATTTTGAAAGCTCCCATCTAGGTTTTCTTAAACGGTAGCCGACTCCTCTTCTATAATTCCTTTCTCTGCTACGACTTCTATAACGTTTATCTTCTACCCTATCTCTTCTTTCTCTCTCCCGCGAACGGGATCTCGACCAAGACCTGGGATAAATTTAGGTTTTTATTACAAATATTATAAATAATTTCTAAAATTGTAGTAAATTTACATACCTGCTTCTATCATATCGCCCCATATTATTCAAAACACTACTTATTGAGAAATTAATTTACAAAAAAAAAAAAAGAAAAAACTATAACGTTTAATCAAAAACACAAATTTTAGTTTGACTAAAGCTTTCCAAGCTATACCAACTTAAACAATAATAAAAAAAAAAAAAGGAATACCAACCAAATTTTTAAAATGATTTTAATTTTAAAAAAACCGCCACTTCATATTATTTGCTTTATAAAATCATTTTTATTTCAAAAATATATATTATTTTGAACATTGTTAACATTAAAAATTAAACTCGAAATGTTTGAAATAAATCAATATGAATTTTTTTTTAGAAAAGATTTTGAAAATTGATTAATTTCGTACTAAAATATAAATATTAATTGTCGTAAGAATTTTTTTTTTCCCGAGTTTCTGTTTTCATTTCAAAAAAAAAGGAAAACAGAAGAAAAACTTTTAAAAAGTATTTACTGTTTTTGGATTATTTTATTATTATTACTTTAGCATTATTTTACGAAATATTTTTAATTATACTTTAAATGATACTTTTTTAAATATCCTAATGGATGAAGAAGAAGACATTCCTCCTCCTAGTAATAATAATCAGAGTTCAAATCTTGCTTTAATAGTATGGGTAATTCTTACAGCTGTGGTTTATAGAATTGGATATGGACCTGGCAGATTTATTGGAGGAAAAGATTAACCTTACTTTTCGAAGAAGAATTAATAATGTAGATTTTATAAATGAAGATGTGACAAAAAATTTAAATTTAGAAATGTTAAATCCAACATAAAATTTATTTATTTAAACTTTTATTTTTTATTGTTATTAATTTTTATTATTTACATAAATTTTTTTAAAATTATTATTTTTTGCCATAAATATCTTCTATACCTGTTAAATTTTTTTTAACATTATTACAATATGTTTTATTTTATTCCTAATAATAATTAGATATGATAGAATTAAACAACAAGATTAATGAAAATGGTAATAAAAAAAAAAAAAACTAATGAAACTGATAAATAATATTTAATGTATTTACACTCGAATGATTATTAATTAAATAAAAAAATAGTTAAAAAAAATTTTTAATTCAAAAAAAGTAAGTAATTATGATTAGCAATTAAAATATTTATTAATCAAGGCATTTATATCTAAACAAATTTATATATTTTGTAAAACTGATATGTAAAAAAAATTTTATTTCTTCCTATATTTTATAAAAAAGTCGATTTATAAAAATATTTTTATTAAAACTAGATACAGGTTATTATAGCACTAGCACAGTTAAAAACACAATGAGCATTTTAAATCACTTTCTTCTTATAAAATAAAAAATAAAAATCTTTAATATAAAATTCTAGGGGTAAACAGTATAAATTAAATTTTTTTTTTTTTTTTTCTTACTGATTCCTACCTTTAAAAATCTATTTGAATATATTTCATTAAAAACACATTTTTATCATTTTAAATTATTTTCCTATGTTAATTAAATTAAGGTAAGTAATAATAAATATATTAATTAATTTTAAAATATTTAATTATCGATTAAATTTTTAAAAAAATTAGTTTAATGTAGTTTACTAACTTACTTTTAAAAAAAAAAGTTTTACTTAACTTGATCATAAATGTGTTTCAATCTAAGCGCATTCTGTTTTATTTCTTCTCTAATTTTTGCTTCTGCATTAATAAAAGATTCATTTAACTCATTTAGTAATATTCTTTGACAACTATGTTCGATTTTTGTATTGCAATTCCCAGTTAAAATACTTTGCTGGATATCTTCGGTTATAATTTTTTTTAAATTCTCATAATTATTCTCTAAAGTTTTAAACCTATCATCAAAATTACACTTAATATCAATCACTTCTTTTTTAAGAGAGTTTATTTCACTTAACACAGCTTCTTTACAATTTTGAATTTCACTAATAACATCACTATAGTACAAATTCCTTTCTTCGATATCAGTATAAAACCATCTCTCACGATCCATGACACTAAGAATCTCTTTTTAATCGAAATATCTGACAATTTAAGATTACTTTGATTCGAAGAATTTGTTTTCTCATCTATAGGATAAAGGTTTGGAGAAGACTGAGATGTTGAACCCAAAAAAGCACTTTTTTGAATCGGCAATGGAGACAAAACTTTTTTAAAAAATGAATCTTCATAAGGAGTAGAAGAATTAACTTTAGTAATAACAAAATTAGGAGTTGATTGTGGACGAACAAGCGAAGTAGTATGATTATTAAAATTTACAGATAAATCTTTATCGAAATTTCTGCTAATCGGTGAAAAAACATCCATTACAGAGATATCTAATGTTTTAGAAGGATTTTCTATAATGTCTGGTGTATTCATTTCAACCTCCCTGTATGATTTTGCAATTTTTAAATTTTGTGTTTTAACCGACAATACAGGCCCATTATGTGCTTTGATAGTTTGTAAAACTTTATCTGCTCTTAAGTCGTATATTATGATGGAGCCACCTGTAGTCCCCAAAGCAACCTTATCACCATTAAGAATAATATCTACACAATTTAATGGTTCTTCTAAATTAACATCCAATATTGATTTTTTTTCCCTTATATCATAGATTTTTAAAGTTTTAGTCAAACTCACAGAAGCTATCACATCATAATTAATTGGAGAAAATGAAATATCCGTACATGCACCAGTGTGAGCATGACAATTTTTAAATATAAAATCTGATGCTGTGATATCCCATACACATACAGTACTATCGATTGAAGAGGCACCCAAATAATTTTTTTTGCACAAACAAAATTTTACACTAGATGTTTGCTTGGATTTAGGCAAACAAATTTTATTAACTACTTTGTTCGTTTTCAAACTATGAATACATATTTTATTAGAACTTAAACTTCCTGTAGCTAAATAAGTATCATCAGAATTAACAGATACAAAATCAACAGGCTGAGATTCTACATATTCAACTTTAACAGATATTTTTTTATCAATCACATCCCAAACAAATATTTCCCCACTTTTATTTCCAACAGCTAAAATTCTATTTGTCCAATTAAAAAATGAAGCAGAAGTAACATTAGGTAGTAAAATGTATTTCATAGGTTTTAATTCATTATCCGAAAATTTAAAAATAGGCAGTGGTCCATTTCCTTCATCGTAAGGAGCAACAGATAACCATTTACCATCTCCACTCCATGTTATTCTTCCGTGAGTAGGATTTTTTGTTGAAATGGAAATCGAAACAGGAGATGAATATTCGTCTTCTGCATTATATATACTTAATTCTTTTGAATATGTCGCTAATGACATTTTAAAACATTAAAAAAATAATAATAAAATAAGAAACAACTTGTAACGGCCACTTTAACCACAAATATATTATTTTGGCTCCAAACAGGTAAACAACTAAAATCTGCTTCCACGTCTTTAATTTCAGCGGTTTTAATTTTAGTTTGAATTGTTTCAACGTTCATTTAATCTTTGAAAAAGAAAACAATTGTATTACATGACTGAAAATTTGAAATGTTTTTTTCCTCTCCTCTTGAATTATTTAAAAAAAAACTAAATCTATGCAAAGGTCATTTTTTACTTAAGAAAAAAAAATACTTTGCTTTTTTTTTTTTTTTTTAAATTAGATTAATAACATTAAACTTCTACCCAATAGTATGGGTTTTGTATTTTGTAATACATTATAAGCATAAAAATTAGAGTTTTTTTTATAAATTACTACTTTTATTTCTTAAACATCTAATTTTATTATTATATAAATTACTGTCTTTCAAAAGAAAATTAGAGAGAAATTTATTTATTTGTAAAACAGATTCATATTTTAAAAAAAATTAAAATATATAACAGCATTATAAAAAAACTATTAAAAATGAACTTGAAGAAAATTATATGGATACGGTTGGATTCGCTACAATTCACTTTATACGGTATTTGTTTTTCCTGTTACAACAGTTTCTTTCTTCCATAAATTTTATAATACCTATGCTTTTTCTTAAAGCTGTCATTTAAAAAAACATTGAAAATAAATTAAAAATTCACAAACTTTATATGGAAAGTTGAGTGAAAATTTTTTACAATTCAAAACCATATAAAAAATATTACAAATAATTCTTTCTTAACTACCCCCCCCCCCCAACACACACACACAAATAATTTGATATGATGTAAATAAAAATAACAAAAAAATTTAAATCTCTTAAAGTAATTTTTAATCAAAAATAAAATTTAGTTAAGGTTGACCAAAAAAAAAAAAAAAAAAAATTAACCATAACTTTTTGTTTATTTTATTTATTTATAACTTGGTAAAAAATTGTTTATAATTTAGGATAGTGTAAAACAAAATTAATTAATAGGGAGTAATTAAATTTAAAAAAAATAAATAAATAAATTGGAATGAATGAAAAAAAAAAAAAAAAAAAATTGTGTCATTTTTAATGGGACCTCGACATTATAAGTTTTTTTTTTTTTTAAAAAACTTTTTTTTTTTTTCAGGTTTTGTAGTTTCCCAACCGTAATATGTTATCCACTTCCACAAGGGGCTTCACTACTTATAACCGTTATTCATGGTATGAAAACGGTTGGTTGAAAAAAATAACGTTCAGTTTTTTAAAAATTTTTATTCTTAAATAAAAATACATTTTTGATGTCAAGTGTGTAAAGTGAACTCTTATATTTTTTTTAACATTAAAAAGTTTAAAATATAAAATTTTTAAATTAACCACCACAAAGTGAATATTTATAGATTTAAATTGTAAATATTGAACAATTTTTGTTTTTTAAGAAGCAATATTATCAATTATCAGTGTGAGTTTTTTTCTTTTTTTTAACTATTTTAAACAATTTATGAATTTTTTCATTATGCATAGATTTTATTTAAAATCTTAATTTTTTTTTAATTTCAACAATTTATAATTACATTTAAATTAAATTTTAATTTGTTAAAAACATTTTTTAATCACATTTATTAATTTTAAGTTAATTTTTTTTGGTTATAAAAAAAAAAAAAAGTTGACATTTTTCACTTTGAAAATTTATTTAATTATGAAAAATTTATTACATTATTAAATTATTTCTTTCTGACTATTGGTATGATGTAAAAATAATAATAATTTAATAACCTATGAGTATTTTATTGTTTTTCTCACTTATTAATGTTTAAAAATTTTTTGAGACTCATCATAGGTCGTGCAAAAAAAAAAATTTTGGCGCCTTTTAAAATCCAGAAAATTACTAAAAAATTAGAATGATAATAATAATGC